TTATTTTTGTTGTTTGACCCTTAGTGCCAAGGTACACATTCACCTTGAGAACCTCATCTCTCTCAAAAGTTTTGGCACATCCAACTGTTAATTTCATCAATGCACTGGCAGAGTGTGGCAGTAAGACTAAGTAGATCTGAATGTCATCAGCGTAGGATAGAATGTTGCTGTCTTGTTGCCCTTGAGCCTCTGATCCATGCAGAATTAGCTGCTGAGTCATGCGAGCTCTGTCTATGACAGCATTTGGGGATTCTTCACCCATATTACTTAAAACTTCATATCTGTTCTAAAGCTGTATTTGGGGTAGAGGAAGCTAATGCAGCTCTGTATGATCTTAGTGATCTGACCCCGCATGTACCCTTTGGTCTCGCAGCTGGTTTATGTCATCAGTTTTCATGCACATTTTCAACAGTTTCTTTGTGTTTGTCTTTGCTTACAACAGTAGCTGGAGTAGAATTAGGGGATTCACTAGCTGTGTGTTGTGAGGGTCCATAATGAAGCGGTCCAGTGTGATCCGGCAGTTCTGGTCGGATTGCAAGTAACTTTTTCAAGAACTGCAATCTTTTGTAGAAGTCCGAAGCAGTTTTTGCAGCATTGCGGTTCTGAATCAATCCAAACCAGAGGCATTTTTAAGCCGTCTTGTGTTTTCCCATCTCAGGAATGTAAGCAGCTGGTAGTGGGAGGATTGTTTAGACGTTAATTCCACTCTTGTTAGTAAAGTTGTATTGCAGAAAGTTTGTAGATTCGATGTTGATCTTCAAGCTGTGTCGTTTGAGCACTGTGCTGATAGGCTCAAGTTAAAATTAGAGTATAAAATATAAAAGCAAGAGTGCAAAGATCGGAGCAGTAGGCAAAGATGTCCGAATAGTAGCAAAGCAGGAAGTCCAGTGGAAGCACGCAGCTTGCTCAAATATTGGGAACACCCAGTTGAAAACACCTGAACTTTTCAGAATTCCACGAGTCCACTGCGCATTTCGGTAGACTTTTTACCTCAGACAAACACAGAATACTCAAATAATGCAGTGCTTTTCATTTTTTTTCCATAAATATAACTTGTCTCAGAGCAGCAGCAATGTTTTGTTTGTTTGCCATCCTCTGAGAAAACACAGAGGACAGTGATAAAAAAAGAAGTAAGAGCACAAAGCGCGTTGAAAATGGAGAAGGAACCGATGCGCTTGTGCTTTCGAAATGCTTTTAGACATGATATGTGAATGGCCCCTTATGCTGTGTTCACACCAGACGCGGAAGGAGCATCAAGCTTGAGGGATTTACATGTTATGTCAATGCAAATGCGTAAATAGACATCCTGCGGCGTGAATGGTGCAATATGCGCAAATTGAGCTTTTTGAATTGCTTGAGTTAAAAAATCTGAACTTTAGCAGACATTTGCGCTGCGTTAACCATTCAGGAGCTTGCTCTTGTGGGGGAGTGATTGTGACGTAGCACCAGTTAGTTGTGTCCTGCGGACATCCTTCAGCCAACACTGACAACAGTTCTACAAACTGGGCTCGGCTCAGTCAGAAGCACCGCTGAATCCCTCCATCATCCAGGTTCAGTTTCTGGAGGAGTTTATGAGCTCACAGAGCTGAGTGCACCTCTGAAAGTATCTAGTGGACTCCGATATGGCCCTAAACATATCGACGCTGTTTTTCAGTATTCAAAAAGCAGATAAACTCTGTTATTTTCCTAATAAAATCCATGTAAGCCATATAGCAACAAAGCTAGAGTCACTGGGCAGACAGAAGCCCTTCCCGTCACGCGAATCCGCGTCTGTTCTGAAGTAAATTGGATGCTGGAATGAAGCAGATTTGACGCGCAAATGAAGCGAGTAAACTTAAATGTTCATGTGGCTATTTACGTGCAAATAGCGTGATTTATCCGAGCGTTCCGTGTCTGGTGTGAACACAGCATTAGACTACCTCAATGACTTCAGCTTGGTGATAGATGTGTCAACCCCTTCATCCACCGTCTCAGTGGAAGCCATGTAAATGGGATTGAAGAAGTCCTTATAGCTTCTATCATCGTCTGACACATCCCGTCAAGGTCAACAGCTCCCCACTTTTACTATTAACAGTGTTGGTGAAGCATTGCTTCCTCTTCCTGAGGCGCTTGACAGTTTGCCAGAATCTCTTTAGGGCAGAGGATTGACATGGTCTTCCCCAGCTCTTCTCAGGCCTGAGTTTTTACTTCCTCAACCCTCCAGGCTGCAGCACACTTGGCCTGTCGGTACCCATAAGCTGCCCTGAGAGTCCCACAAGGCAACCAACTTCTTTAGCTTGACAGCATCCCTTAGTTCTGGTTTCCACCACCAGGTTAGTGGGTTTCCACCACAACAGGCACCAGAGGCCATGCAGCCACAGCTCCTTACAGCTGCATCGACAATGGTGTCAGAGAACATTGACCACTAGATCCTCAATGTCTCAATCTAGTCTAAGTTCTTCTGGAGGTGTGAGCCAAATCAATATGACATCAGGTTCAGCTAGACATTCCAAGCAGACATTTACAATATGTTTGGGCCTGCCAGGTCTGTCCTTCCCCCTCCTCTGCCAGCAGATCCAACTCAGCACTAGGTGGTTATTAGTTGACAACTCTGCCCCTGTCTTTACCCGAGTGCCTTAGACATACGGACCAAGTAGTCAGTCATCCTGGTGCCTTGTGCACTAATGGACAGCCTTATGCTTGATTATAATGTTTGTTATGGACATACTGTGACTAGCACTGACATGTAACAACAGAAAACCACACCGATTCAGATCAGAGAGGCCATTCCTTACTATCAAAAGAGTCCAGAATTGAAGCACCTTTCTCAAGGAATCGAAGAAATGTGGCTACTCTTCACTGTTGTTTGGCCTGTAAGCACAAACTACAGTGAGAGACCTACCTTGGCCCATATGTGTAGGGAGGTGACCCTCTTATTTATCAAAGAATACACATACTTAAAGACAGTTTGTTTGTAAGTCATCCCGCATTCTGGGGGTCGGTGCCCGCTATGCGTGATCCCCTTTGGTGATATGCATCACTCAGCCACGCTATAGTTTTCCCCTTTCAGGCAGATCAATGTCTTCCCTTCCTGCTAACCATTCCTTTATATGTTGCACTCCCTCTGTTAGGGTGGCCATATGTGTCACGGTCGTGGTGGGGAAAAGGAGCGAGGACTCAAGTGCAAAGAAACAATGGGTATTTATTAATAATAAAATAAAAATAAAAGGCAAAACAAAACTACCCCGAAGGGGAAAACATGAATACAAAGGCAAAAACAAACTTGACAGGGCTGGCAGGAATGGCAGGACAAGACAGGGCTGGACACAACAAGACAGGAAACTAGCAACGACGAACTGACAAAGGACTGAAAACATGAGGGGGATTATAAAGCAAAAAAGTAAATTGAAACACAGGTGAACACAATTAACTAAATATGGGTTAACAAGGAGGGTGGGACTAGACAATAGACGGGAGAGCGCATGACACAGAGAGACAATACAAGCCATGCGCTCACATAACACAACACTGAAGCACACGACAAAAGCACGTGACCAATGTAAACACCGAGCCATGTGCTTTGACAAAAGACGCAAGACACGAGCACACGATGAATGAAAACACTCACCATGCGCTCACATATGCAGCATGCATGCTTCATCCCAGCGCCGACCAAAACCGAAACCAACAAGACTGAGATGCTGGGAATGAAACACCATGCTGCTGACAGACGAAAACACAAACACGAGTACAAGAGCGCACGCGTCTGAGGGACGCAGAGCGCGCGCGCGGCCGCGTCAAGCAGGAGCGCGCACACTCTACGTACACCCACGACGGCGCGCGCTCACACAGAGACAGAAACAGGACCAGACATGAGAAGTGTCAGAGCTCTGCCACCAAAACAAGAATTTTCAAGACCAAAGTGGCAGAACCCTGACACTATGTCCCTACTGCCATATGTTCCTACTGTCACCCAGATGGGCCTCTGCAACGTCTTTCGCCTTTGGGACTGGCACACTTTACAAAACATACTATCATATTACAAAAATTCCTATGATAATTGCTCACTCACAAGTGCTTGGCAAACTTCTCACCAAGGCTGTGGTTAGGTCCAGCTGCTATGTAATTTTCCAGACACTCTTCCAAATGTGTCGTGCAACAAAGCATTGGAATTCCATCCAGAAGGAGAACTAAATGTTTATGAATATAACCCTGAGTGAGGGAATGGAGATGCTATGTCCCACAGCTGGCGCTCCATCTGATAGCTGTATGTTCGGCTTCTTTAGCATAACAGTGTGACAAGCTCTCTGTGGTTGCTGGCTTTATAATCAGATAATTGCGATTATCCTCTACCATCCAACATTGCCTTGTCCATGCTATTCTGTCTTTGGGATGATTGCTCAGCTTGCATTCTTCTCTGAGCTGACAGGCATGATTTTTTTTTTTGGACAACCATAAAGATCAGGTTAAAGTGAGCCTTCCCCTTCCCAAGAGCTGGTCTGACAGTTGGTGTCCTCCTCCAACCCCCCATCCACAGCTCAACAAACTTGCTTGTGAGGCTAAATACATACCTGTATGTGCGCGCCTTTAAACACTAATTCTACTCGGCAATTTTCATTAGGTCTTTTAATGCAAATTGTTAATTCTATTTGTGGGTCACAGATATAGCATCTCTTTTGCCTCCTTCGTGGAATAAGTGTTACATGCCTAACTGAGACATTCTTCATCATGCACATTAAATCACTCATTGTATTCCAGTAATCATTATAATTCTCACTACTGCAGTAAAATTGTAGATAAAACCTTTGGCCAAAATAAATAATGATATGAAGATCCTATTGTGCAAGCTGTTGGGACTAGTGAGGTGTTAGTGATCATAGGAAATGGGTGATTTTCAAACCAAATAGTGTTCACTAATTAATTTCCACGTGGTTAGTTTTTAAGTATGTTTAAAATTCTACATAGGTCATGGGTTCATTAAAATTTAAGTGAATATAATTTGTTTGTTTCAACAGGGAAAATCAAGGACTGTGGGAATGTAGGAGTCAGTTCAATATTTAAAACAGAAAACGATTGAAAAAATGAATAATCTGTTTCACAAACTCTGTCTTGAAGACAGACACACTAATAAACTGCGAGCTTCAGATGTTCTTCAGATAAATAAACATTCATTGCAGTCCAATGAACCTTGTCCTGAAGAAGAGCTCATTCAAACATTCATACAGAAACTACTGATGATGAACTACAGAACAAGATACATTAGTGCTGAGAAGATTAATGAAGATCACTTGCAACAAACAAACTTTGACTCAACTGAAGGAGGGAGTGATATTTTTAATGAAATGTCTTCTGCTAAAGGCACGAATAAGTCAGAACTCATTCACCCGATGGATGTTCAGATGGCTGCATTTCATCATGCTGATGGTTTTCTAAAGCAGCTGATGGTCACTAAACTGTCCCAGTGTCAGTTCGCTCTGCCTCTGCTTGTTCCTGATCCATTCACACAACAGACTGACTTTCCTCTTTGGACATTCAGACAAATCAACAAGAGCTGGAAGATCAGAAACACCAACAATGAAACCATCAGTCAAACCCAGCCCATCTACAAGGCACAAACTCCAATGGTGTTTTTCTTCAGGTTTGACTCTGTGTCTTCATCCAAGTCTCAGCTGATGAACAGTCTGATCAATGACAAACACAACACGTTCTTCCACAGGAACTGCCCAGGCAGCAGCAGATCCAGAGTCCTGATGGATGGAGTGGTGGAGATCGCCTGGTTCTGCCCTTCTGGGAAAAACACAGATACATTTACTGACTGTGTGGCCTTCTGTAATCTACATGGAGATGCAGGAGATCACGAGAAACAGTGGAGGATCCTCACTGAGATGGCCTCAGTCAATGTGCTTCTACTTCCACAGCTTGATAGAAATGACAAACATGCAACGACAATTCAAAAACTGTACAGTGACTCAAAGCCACTTATTTGCCTTTTTACTGAAGATGAATCTACTGTTATTCCGACAAAGAAAGGAAAATATAAGATTGGATTAAAAGACAGAAATCAGGCAGATATCTCTAAAGATCTCAGAGGAGCTATAATTAAATGTCTTTTGGAATCATCTTCAACTTTCAGACTTGAAGATGTGTCCAAACACTCAGACATCAGAGTAGATATGGAAGAGGATGAAGACTGCAGGAAAGGAAGAGAAGCAGCACAGCAGATGATCAGTTTACTGCAGAAAGAAAATCTGACAGAAATCAAAGAATCATTTCTGCCTCATCAGGGGAAACTGTGGCATCAGTGGAGTCAGAAGAACAAAGAACTACATCGACTTCGAGGAGATGAGTTAGAAATTGAAATCAGTAGAAAACAAACAGAAATGAAGAAAATCCGTCAACAGCAGCATGAATCTGACATCAGTGAGTTTATAAAAGTCTTTATAAGAATAATGAATTTGGATGTTACAATTAAGTTGTATTTTATTAAATGGCTCAGAATCTTGATGGATGAAAATACATCATCTGATCTGTATTCTCTACATCAAAATTATAATGATAAATGGTCAACAGTTTTAAAACTGAAAGAGGGCAGTGATGAAAAAGACTCGCAACTCAAAGCTGAAGAAACTGAACTTGAGAGAATATCTGAGGATCTTCAAGGGGCAGCCTTTGGTCTGGAGCACATCATGAGGGAGATCGGTCAGATCTATGAATCATGTTCATCTGTGAAGGAGAACAAGAAAGATCTGCCGGTTCACTTCTCTTCTCTCCCGAGTCTCGCAGCAGAGATGATGATCTCTGGGTTTCCACTGGAGCTGATGGATGGAGATGCTGCTCATGTTCCAGTAGTCTGGATCTCCGCTGTTCTTGATCAGCTCATCCAGAAACTGGGAGACCAGACCAGAGTCTTTGTGCTGTCAGTTTTAGGGCTTCAGAGCTCTGGGAAATCCACCATGCTGAACGCCATGTTTGGACTCCAGTTTGCCGTCAGTGCTGGCAGGTGCACCAGAGGAGCTTTCATGCAGCTGGTCAAAGTGTCTGAGGAGATGAAAACACAGATGAACTGTGACTATATTCTGGTTGTTGATACTGAGGGTCTTCGTGCTCTAGAACTGGCTGGAAGATCAACAAGAGATCATGACAATGAATTGGCCACATTTGTTGTTGGTGTTGCAAATCTGACATTAATCAACATCTTTGGAGAAAACCCGTCTGAGATGCAGGACATTCTTCAGATTATTGTTCAGGCCTTCATGAGGATGAGGAAGGTTAGACTAAAACCCAGTTGTGTGTTTGTGCATCAGAATGTTTCAGATGTCACAGCTGGAGAGAGAAACATGGAGGGAAGAAGACAACTGCAGGAAACACTGGATAATATGACAAAACTCGCTGCTGAAGCAGAAGACTCAAATGCTGAATGTTTCAGTGATGTCATTAAATTTGATGTTCAGAATGATGTGAAGTATTTTGCTCAGCTCTGGGAGGGCAGTCCACCAATGGCTCCACCAAACCCAAACTACTGTGAGAATATCCAGGAACTAAAGGTGACTATCATGTCTCATGCTTCAAAAGTACAGGGAATGAGGCTGACAGGTTTAAAAGATAACATTAAAGATCTCTGGGAAGCTTTACTGAATGAACGATTCATCTTCAGCTTCAGAAATTCTCTGGAGATTTCTATCTACAGGAAACTGGAGACAGAGTACAGCAAATGGTCTTGGAGTCTTCGCAGTGCAATGATGGAAATCGAGAGTAAACTACACAACAAAATTGAAAATGAAGCAATTGATGAGATTGAGAAAACTGATCTTCACAATGAACTGAAGGAAACCAGTGAACAAGTGGAAAAATCAATGTCAGATTTTTTTGAGAAGGATCCAGATGCAGATATACTGATTCAGTGGAAAACATCCTTTGAAATAAAAATCCAGGAGATTCAGGAAAACATTGTGAAAGAAACAAAGAGGAAATTAAATGATATTCTTCAGCAACGAGACATGAAGAAAAAGATTGACGCTCAGAGGACACAACATGAAAACACTCTCTATGAAAAGAGTAAAGAACTGGCCTTGAATCTCAAAGACAAAACAAATGATGAAGAAACACTGAAGAAAGAGTTTGAATTATTTTGGGAACAAAGTGTGAAGAAGATCATAAAAGAGACGCCTCCAATCAAAAGCATTGATGTGTTGAAAGATGCAAAAGTCCTCCTCAGTGATGTCTATAAAAGTGCCTCTTTAGGTCACTGGAGTGACAGCAGGGACATTTCTATTGAGCAGAACTTTTCTGAATATGTCATTTTCACCAAGACCACAAGTAGTGCAGTTGCAGATGTTACAGACCAATCATTGTCTTCAGAGGATGAGACACAAATACGAGCATTAGTCTTAGGGATTGTTGAGGAGACAGAAAGAACGATTCTGTCATCTAACATTTCAAAGATGGGCTACAACAACAGCTACATTCAACAACTTACCAGTGACATCAAGACAAGAGTAACAAAATATCAGGAAGGAGCAGTGAAATATAAGTTCAAGAACGAATTCTTCATTGATTTGGTTTATTCCATGTGTAAAAGAGCAAACAACAAGATCACTGAACAACACAGACTGTTCAGAGAAGCCAATGACCCTGTAATATACATCGAGAAGAAGAAAGAAGAGTACTATAGTATTTTCCAGAAATACTGTCATAGTGCAACATCAGCTGTGATTTTTGGCGAGATCATCTGTCAGAAACTGAAGGAGCCCATTGAAGAGAGCGTCTACAAGAAAACTGCCAGAGATTTAGCAGATGAAATAAAAACAGACTGTGCATCACTGAATGGAAACAGATCAAATCTGGAGAAACACATCCTGAAGACACTGGCAGAAGAGGAGGACTTTAAAAAATGTATAAATTACATTCATTATCCCAGAGGTCATTTTAAGAGTTTCATCAGAGATGAAGTCAGTCGCTACATCAGCGATAAGTTCAGCAGCAGTGTTTTACCCAAGATGGAGGAGAACATTAAACTCCTGCAGCAGAAGATCATGAACGCAGCACATCAATCTACTGAACATGTTCAAGTCAACAGTGGAGATGTTGGTTTGTGGTTGAAGAGTTTCACACAGCAGCTCTCAGATCAGCTGATCTTCTCTGAAAAAGACCTCAGTGGAGTCAAACATGATGATGTTGATGATTTCACACTCCTAGAAGATGTGATCAGACAAGAGCTTCCTGCTGTAATGTCAGACATCAGCAGCAGATTCAACACAGACACATTTCCAGTAAAGCTGGACTATAAGTTCAGGCCAGATGAGCTTCTGATTGATCACTTCTGTCAGTGCTGTTGGGTTCAGTGTCCGTTCTGTAAAGCCATCTGCACAAACACCATGGAGGACCATGAAGGAGATCACAGTGTTCCATTCCATCGTGTAATTGGGATAAATGGGTGGTCTTACGAAGGAACATCAAACTTGTGTACTGACATCTGCACATCAGCAGTAGCAAGTGATAATTATTTTTATCCCAAGCACTCAGATGATGCATATCCCTGCAGAGAATACAGAACAGCGGGAGGGGTTTATGAGAAATGGAGCATCACTCCTGATCTCTCTGAACTGCCCTACTGGAAGTGGTTCGTGTGCAGATTCCAAAAGGATCTGGAAAAACACTACAGCAACACATTTGAGGGGAAGGGGATGATACCAGACGAATGGAGAAAATACTCAAAACAGGATGCTACTGAGAGTTTGGATAAATACATTTAAGTGAACAAATAAGTTCATTTTAATTTGCAGATTTTTATTAACAAAGTTAAACAACATTTTAATAGTTTAAAAGGGCATTAAGTGTTTATTAGTTTATTTTAAACGTGAGCAATGCATGAATAAAAAAATGCTTGCTACACACTCAAAATTGTTTATGAACGGAGAGTAGAAATACCTTTTTTGCTTCATTTTGAATATTTATTATGAAAACAAAAGATTTGTACTCGAGCAAAAAACAAAAAACAAAAAAAAACTTTGAAATAAAAATGTGTTAGCACATTGGCCAGGGCTCACATTGACCAGCACAGAATATAGCTTACATCAGCAGGGCTCAAAATTAACTTTAATTTGGTAACACTGGTGCTCCCACTTGAAAAATTTATTAGCTCCACTACTACAAATTGTATATTAACAGATTTATTGTATTTGTAAACAACACCAATCAGAACTGTCAAAAAAGTAGTGCTGCGATTACTTGTAGATGTTAGTTTCCAAAAGAATTCCAATTCTAATTCCAAAATGAATATCCAGTAAAAATGATGAAAACAATAAATTAAATTTCTCTTCATTGTGCTGCCACATATGAGTAACATACTGAGTTTTCTGCTAAAATGAGTCAACTAATGAAAAATGAAACAATAGTTTACTATTAAACAAAAACAAAGCATTGCAGTTAAAATAGTTTTGTTTTTCTCCCTGTTTTAATTTTATTTTTAGTCAAACCTATAATTTAAGTTTTTATTATTAGTTTTAGTCACTTTCAAACTTTTTTTATTTAGATTTAAAAAAACTGATAACATTTAGTCTAATTTTAGTCTATAAAAAATCCTTTTAATCTCTTTTTAGTCATGCAATTCTATTTAACCCAGTCAATATAGTATGAGTACTTAGTTGTATAGGTGAAAAAGCTTTATATTTTTTAAGTGATGTAACCAAGAAAATCTGTGACAATGCATCTAGATGACATTTGAAGGGGTGGAAATTTGGGTGACAGTGCACTGTGCCATTAGCAGTAATATAAAGTGACAATGTAAACAAAAACAAAATAAAATTGGTAAAAAAAACTTAGATGACGCTTTGAGCAGGTACAACGTTAGCATTTTGTACATGAGGTCAGGGCTTGACATTAACACCCTCCAAATGCAAGTATATTTCAGCTGTGGTGGGTTAGACAGACACCCCATTAGCTACTTTGGCTGGTTGAGAATCATTTTTAAATTGTAGTTTTCTTAAAAATCAGGATTTAGCGGTAAAGATTGTCCAGGGGCATGGGGCCAGCGGGAGAGATGACAAAAAGGACTGTGTTCGCATTAGCAAAAGAAACCTATGAATACCAAATGAGAATGACTTTTAAAGAAGTTTTCTTCAATAAAAACAGCATGTGAACAGCTATATTTAGCCTGTTTTAACACATTATATTTCTTGGCTAAGAAATATTTATTTATTTTTGGTCTGGCTAGAGAAAAATTTGATAAATCTTTAATGTTGAGTCCTGAAAAGTCCTATAAAAATAAAAACTAATTGCAATATAACACTATGAAACCACAATTTATTTGCTCATTCTCATAATTATATATATATATATATATATATATATATATATATATATATATATATATATATATATATATATATATGAAATTAATAAGGAGTCACGTGGACATAACTTCTAAATCAAGTATTTTAGCATGCCAAAGTCAAATTTATGTATATATAAAATATATTTTAACAACAACAAAATTATGGCTAGTGATGTTGGAAAACTACTATGACAACAATAATAAATATACTTAAACATTGTAATTATCATTCAGCCAGTTTTGTTATTTTGTTAATGTTATTGGCAATGTTATAATACATTCACAGGGTAACTTTAACACAATTCTCCTGTTTCTCCCGATGGCCCCCTCAGGCCTGCGCAATATTGTTCTCGTTCATGAGCAGAATTATGACTTTAAATTGACTTTAAAAGCAAGCTTGATTTGGCAATGACTCTATTTGTGGTGGTAATAGTTAATATTGTGGCTTTCCTCCTTTCTTATTGACAAGTAGATTTAAAGCCACTTGAGCAACTGCACAGCTTTTATTTATCGCATTTAGAAATGGGCTCAATAGATTCTTGGCACTACCTAAAGAATTGTTTAATTTTTCTTAATACTTACTTGGTACCAAAATACTGGTGGTTATCTTTATCACATTACAATTTTATTTATAACAAAAGGGAAGCTAATGTGTGGCACTAACTTGTAAAGTAAAACCTTCCACAAAACTTGTTTGCTTGTCAAACCTTGTCAATCATTTTTGGATCAGTGCATACTACAGCAAGTATATATCTGTATGTGAAAATAACGAGAAAAGTATGGGGGAAAATAATAAAGGACATCATTTTGCAGAAAATTACTTGTGGATTTGAAGTTGAAACCTCTGACTTCTGGACATTTCTTCGATAGTATTTCCACTTTTTAATGATCTATTGTGTTGAGTCTTATTTTTTTTTTTTTTTTTTTTTTTTTTTTTTGCATCTAAAGCTGAATTTCAGACACCCAACAAAATGGGAACTTAGGCTTTGGGGTTCTGTTGCTCTTGGTGTGGTTTTCTTTTGTTTAGGCACTTACACTTGTTCTTGAGCCCTACATACAGCAATAACAGTCTTCAATGATTATACCTGAACAAAGTGTATGATGTACTAATAAATTATTCTACTGATTCTCATTGCCGTTTAATGTCTTTATTTAAATTTATCCCCCAGAAATATTTTCCCTTTATTTATCCCCCAGAAATATCTCTATGAAAGAAATGTAAGAAGGGTCTACACTCTCAGAAAAAACGTACAAAATTTTACCTTTTAAGGTACAAGTGGCCCGTCATTGGGGTGGTACCCTTCAGGGTACAATTTTGTACCTCTATTTAGAGGTACAAAGTTGTACCTTGTACATTTGTACCATTTAAGGGACAATTTTGTACCCCCAAGGAACAAAATTGTAGACACTGAAGGTACGAAAATGTACCTTATTATATTATATAGCATTTTCAGGGTACTGTCCCAGGCATTTTGATCCTTTGGTGACTGCATGCACAAATAAATAAATAAATGAAATGTTTTGATTCGCAGATGTCCATTTTTATTTAGAAATGTAGAAATATTTCATTACAACTCACAACTGAATGTGTTAAGAAATAAAATTACACAGCAAGTATAAAGCAGACATGTAAAACAGTGAAAAAAATAACTATTTAGATAACAAATAAAAAATTGTTCACTCACATATAGTAAATAATCTACACTAATACAAAAATCACAAGAATACTGTTTAAGATTTATAAATGCATTACACAGGCTATATCAAGGTCAAGTCCAAAGTATTTGTCTTTAGTCAGAATACTCAGTCATAATATATAGTTTGTCATCAACATTTTCTCTGTATTTAAGAATGAAGGCGAAGTTTCTCTATAAATTGCTTCAACTGTGCAGAAAACCAAAAACATCAGTAGCCTCTTCCTCAACATCAGTAGATTACTCCTCAACTTCCTCAAGTAGAGTTGTAATATTTTGTAACACAACATGTTTATGCTTTTGGTAAACATGACATGTAAAGCACTCATATCTGGAAAATGTTCTTTGATAGCCATTAGGAGCACAAGTTATTTAAAAATTTGCTTTATGCATGAATGAGGGCAGTGTGCTGGATTAACTTGATGATTGTGATTATTATCCAAGAGCATTTAGAGAAACAAAAAACAAGGTTGATCACTCTGGTAACTGGAGTAGGTCGAGGCTTGTCCCCGTCCACCTTTCATTCAAAACATTCCACTGCAGAAACATCAAGGTGTTCTTCTAATAAGATGGATATGTCAAAAATGTATATTCGTCCACACCATTAACCCAGCCAATCACAATCCCATCAACTCTGAAGACTGCCGTGACTCGTCTTGTTAACACAGTTGTCCAGTCGGTGGCCTCCTCCTGTACTTGAACTGTTGGATGTGGTGAAGATGGTTCACTGTAAATGACAAAGCAATAATTACATTAATATCAGTCACTCTATCACTGATGAAGAGAAAATCAACATGCATAGAACGTGAAAAAATTAATATTCACTCATTAAAAAAGTATAACAAATAAAAGGACTAATATAAAATTCATTTATTCATTCTTTTTTTTTTTTTTTTGGCTTAGTCCCTTTATTAATCTGGGGTCGCAACAGTGGAATGAACTACCAACTTATCCAGCATTTTACGCAGCAGACGCCCTTCCACCCACAACCTAGTTCTACAAACATTCATACACAGTCATTAACACACATTTATAGACTACAGACAAATTAGCTTACCCAATTCACCTATAGCACATGTCTTTGGTCTTGTTGGGAAACCGGAGCACTTGGAGGAAACCCACACAAACACGGGAAGAACATGCAAACTCCCCACAGAAATGTGAACTGACCCAGCCGAGGCTCGAACCAGCAACCTTCTTGCTGTAAGGTGACAGCACTACCCACTCTGCCATCCTAATATAAAGAACATCAAGAATTATAAAACACATTTATCACAGCATATACTAAACAGAAAACAACATACGCACCGGAGCACAACGAAATGTTGAAGTTCCTCACTGAACAAGGCTGGCAACATGAGAAGTGCTGCTGTAAAATCAATACAATAAGATGTGGCATACAAACAAATATGAAGGAATCTATACAAAGCTAGAATTTAATAATATTAATCAAGTGGAGAAAGTTTAGAAAGAGTACCTTAGAGTCAGGTCCATAGCATTCTTCAGTTGATGTCTAATCTTTCGATGAAAACCTTGACAATAATTTTAAACATATGGGTGTACATTTATTGTTGTTTGTAAGTAAAAACCTACTAATTTAAAATAGTACGTAAGCCAATAAAGCCATGGTATAGATAATGGGAAATATTTGCATCTTGTACTGAGCCATGCTTTTATATGACATGCCTTCACTGGTCTGATGCTGTCAGGCTGCATTACGTTGTTCCAACTGTCCTGAAGGTCAAATGGAAACTTCAAAAACTTCTGGAAAGCAATAAGAAAATAATAACTATTTGTTTATTTTTAGATATTTACAAAATAGTTAAAATACTGTGAGGTACCAGTTTCAGAACAGATGAGACAAATTATTACATTAAAGAACAAAGCATTGCTTAAAACGTCAATTCATACAACGTGGTACGTTAATAATTATATATTAACATAAGCATGAACAGTAGTGTAGCACCAACAATTCTGGACATGAGAGTTTGTGGACACTCCTCAACATTAATGTAGACACTGAAACGAGGATATGTACAATCACACACAAGCCACGTTTGTGTAATCCACATGTATATATCCGTGCATTAACTAATGCTATTGGCAACCCTCAGCGATCTAAAGTGAAGTTTCATAAACTAATTTCGAGAGGAGCACGTGATATGATTGAGCACAGCTGACCACTCATTTGTAATCAGTAATAATCCAATCCGAGTGATCCTACCTTACTATAAATGATCACTTTCTACCCTTTTTCCCTATCTTCATTTCGGAAGAATCCCCCCTTCCACCCCATCTCCTCCTTTTTCTCCCCTTTCTAAAAGGGGAACTATCGAGACCTTCCTGATCTCGGATCCTCTGATATGCTTATTGACTGGGTGGGAGCCCTGGGCTCAAACATCT